TCGTCTGCCCTGGGCGAATAAGTGTCATTTTCGTTAGCAGCTTTTATGGGGACTTGTTATATTTAACAGTGATCGCCAGAAATCTGGTGAGTTTCAAGGGCATATGCAAAGGCATAGCGGGCGCCAAACAGCGGCCAAGGTTCGGTAAAGAGCGGAACGAGTAGCATGGATTTTAACGATAGCGCAAAATGCCCAACTTTTGAAACACGGCCTATTTCTGATGACATTTCCTTGGAGTTGTAGGAAGCGGACTTAAAGCTGTGTAAAAAAGTGCCCCTGTAACAGTTTTGTTACATGTAACAGATAAGCATGTTTGAGCTAAAACGACTATAATATCCACTGTGCTGAAATCTGAGAATGGTATTAAGGATCCCATTGAACGAATCAGGCACCTCTCGGTAATTTTGTTCGTTATCATGTTAACTGCAAAAAGCAGGTGTAGCGAATTATTGAGGCATATTAACTTGAACTGTTATTAGTAGTACACAGTTACCTCACAGGTTTTTTCTGTCGCGCATCGGAAGTTGCGGACTTCAAACACTCTCAGTTGGAAAGAGGTTGTCTCGAAGGTCACAGAAAGGCGGCGACTTAGTGAAGTCGGCAGAGCGGAAAACAGTTGATAACAGTAAAGATATCAACAGGTAAAACTTTTCAGATTTTTACCCTTGTATTTTTAATAGTTATAGCGAATATTTAAAAAAAAAAAAGCACAGAAATGGATGGTGTTGATAGATCTGTTAACCGAGTTTTTTTCGGCTTAGCGACTGATGTACTAAAAATTATCCGTATTTATTCGGAAACTTGCAGGGTTATCTAGTCATCCCAAAACGTTTTACACCTTTTGTAACCATTTCCCAGTACGTTACGTTTTAAACGTGGAAAACATATGGCATTTCCTATTCCGCCCGTTTAAGACGCGTTGCGGTTAGAGATCATCAAAAGTTTCCAGAATTTGGCTTTGAATATCTACTTTGAATAGTTGTTAGGGAAAAATATGCTTCATTATTATTCAAATTTAAGAATAAGAGGGTATGTGTAAACAGTTGTTTCGGTTTTAACTTTAGTAAGGGCCAGTAAAGTTTAAAGTTAGTCGATCAGCGTCTGCTGCATTATGCAAGTTTTTTGTCATGCGATGGCTAGCTGAAAGTCAGTTGCGTTAAGACTTTCTTTTTACATATTTTTTTACATATTCGTTGGGCCTCTCGAAGTATTTTCGTCTTTCACATGCAACGTTTCTGCTATACAGCTTTTTTCCTTCGGGCATTAGAAGTTTTTTCTTGTTCTTTCATGGACTAATTGGTTGGCTACTGTTTGATTTCCGAATTCTTTAATCGTTATTTTCTCCTTCAGAATCAGCGCAGCTTATTACTGAACCGCTTTCACTCATCCAATTGTTAAACAGTTATAGCGTCCACAAGAAGATGCTTTACTTTGGATTTGTATAACCAGAGCCGCATCTGATATCTTTCTCTGGAAGAAGAACACATATTTTTTAAATTTGTTTGTTGCACAACTGTAGTTCTTGGAGAAAATACTTAACCCCTTTGTTTCCTTCCGAGGCGTCGTAGTTCTTGGAGAAAATACTTAACCCCTTTGTTTCCTTTCGAGGCGTCTTTTCAATGGGATTTAAAGAGGCCTGAGTTCGTGGGAAAATTTCACAGTGCTTAAAATACGGAATATTTCCTAAGCTTCTTTGTAGTTTTTTTAATTTTATTCAAGGCTGAGTCGCATAAAGTTTAATCCTTTTACAAAATGATATGAATATATACACAAACTCAAATTTGTGCTTATGGTGACATATATACATTTCTTCTTTTAGAAGTTCAACTCACTTCATGAAGACCATTGCGGAATATGGAAGCTGGGAAAGTAATATTGACGCTGAAACAGTTATAGCTGGTAATTGTCGAAACATATCAGAGTTACAAGCAGCTAAAGGTAGTATTTTTTAAGAACTTTTAGTTTCCACTTGTCTTGCTTTTAAAACTTTCTCAGTTTCTCGGAGCTTTAAATTTTGTTTCACTTTGTTGAACATTTTGTACTTTTTTTGAGGATCCTTTTAGGTTCTGTGTTTTGGCTAGAGCAGCAATTTGTTGGTGGGCGAAATACCATATTTCAGTTTAAGGATGGTAAAGTAATTGAATGGACACCCAGTGATGTTTCAGTTCGTAATTCAGGTACAAAGTGATTTATTTCTTCGTGCATGCGGAAATCACCATTACCAGTTGTACTATACGGCATTTTTTTCAGTACATGAATACGGAGGAGGATCTTTCATTGTGTCTAGTGATCAAGTCTATTTTGTGACTGAAAATGGAGTTTACTTGCAAAAAGATCCACATGCGAAGCCTCAGCGCATTGTTCAAGCTTCGAAAAATTGCCGCTTTGCTGATCTTGATTATTTTAATGTTTCTTTTCTATAATTTATCTTGAATGGCTTTACAATAGTTAGATTTGTCGACAACGTTTTCAAGAACAAAAGCTGCGTGCGTATACAGTGATTTAAGGGACTAAATTGATGATTTTCATTTTCAGGGCAATATTTATGCCGTTAATGAGATTCATTCCGAACTACAAGAAGAACGTCGAGTTGAGAACCTTCTGATAAAAATAACCCATGACGGTCTAACGCAAAAAATAGTACCCTTTCCTTATTCTTTGCTCCTTTATGGTCAACAATGGTGGGCAAATATTAATCTGTAGCATTCAAAGCAAATGATAGTTTTACAAAGTTGAAACCTTCTAGTTGTAATACGGGTGTAGTTTGTTACGAACAAGTTCTTATATTTTCCCAATGTGGCGGTTGTTTTTTTTTAAGGAGGCGCAAAAATTTTTAAATTTCCTATTTGATTCATTCAAGCTCAGAAGTCACTTTTTTCTATGAAACCAAGACTGAAATTTTTAATTGGAAGGAAAGGTCGTTTTAGGTTTTAGCAACAGAAACAAAAAGCTTAGTTTTCACGAAGATTAGAAATTATTATAGTTTTTTAAAGGCATTTGGAGCTGATTTTTATGCCTGTCCACGAGTAAGTCCCGATGGAGGACTCATTGCGTGGATGGAGTGGAATCTACCTGGAATGGTTGGCCTTTAAAAGCTTGTTTTTGAAGATGACTTTAAAGTTTGGTATTTATATTAACAGATTCTTTCCAATTTTTTAGCCCTGGGATGAAACAACGATTAAAGTTGCTCGGCTAGACCGAAAAGGAAATATTGATAAAGTGGTATCGTCACTGTCTAGAAAGGGAGTAAATTTTCATGGGCCACAGTGGGGACCGTGCTCGGAACTTTATGTTATATCGGATCAGACTGGTTGGTGGAATGTTTATCTTGTAAGTGAAACAGCTTGACTTTTAACTTATTCCAGTTACAGTGGAATATTTCAGTTTAACTTGTCACGATTCTTTACATTGGTTCTTTATATTGGGTATGAATTTTTATTGAAACTGCAGTTCTTCAGGTTGATTTTGAAAAAGGCAAATTAAAGTACAATATCTTTCCCGTTGACACAGAAATCGGCTCTCCCTCGTGGGTTTTTGGAGATAGGCAATTTGCAGTAAATAAAACAGGTTATAAGCAATTGATGTGCCGACATTCTTTGAGATTGATATTTTTGGTTTTATAGTGGAAGAGACATTCTCACGTGGGGCTTGGAGCTGGCAGTCAAAATGATAAATAAAGTATTATTTTAAGTCTTTCAGGTGCACTTTTAAATATCGCTGGGAAAATGTCTTTCAAGGTTTTTGACGGTGAATGCAAAACTTTAAAAACACAATTCTTTGGCCAGTTTAGCCACTTGAAACTTGCAGACGAGGATACTGCATATTGTATTGCAAGTGGACCTGCGCGATGTGCGTCGGTTATTGAAGTCCATTTAAACAGTGAAGAGGTTTTATTGATTTCACTTATCATTTCTCTCCCCTTCCCCCCTCCTCATGTTTTTTTCAGTTATATTATTCTGAGAAATTTGAAAGTGGTGACTTTTTAAAACATTTTTTCGGTTTCATGTTCTCAACTTTACAATATGTCTTTTAACAAAGAAAATGAAAGGATTATTTACCATATGAAGTTCCAGGTTAATGTCTTGAGAGAGTCTCGAGATTCTAAAGAGCTTGGTTCGTATGACATTGCTCTTGGGGAAGAAATCACCTTTGTATCTGACGGGGTTCCTGTAAAAGGGTGGTTCTATGCACCTTTCGTTAGTTTATTTTGGTTTTGGGTAGGAATTGTTTCATATTTTTTGTCTTCAAAAACATTGCTTATAGTCAAGTCGTTACATGGCACCAGAAGAGACATTACCTCCAGTTCTCTTAATTGCCCATGGTGGTCCTACCGCTAACACGTCCAATTCACTATCAATGAAAATTCAGTTCTTTACATCCAGAGGATTTGCAGTTTTTGACGTAAATTATCGCGGTTCCACAGGTGACTTTTTGAACTCGCGCATTTCAAGCATGGTTTTTGCTTATTTTGCCAGAAGGATTTACAGGCTATGGAACGAAATTTCGAAATATGCTGTTAGGGAGTTGGGGAGTCGTTGATAGAGACGATATGATCAATGCAGCAAATTACCTAATTCAACACCAACTAGTTAATCCCAAAAGAGTTTGTATTATGGGAAGTTCAGCTGGCGGTTATTTGCTGTTAAGTGCAATTTTACACTCTGATGTATTTGCGGCAGCTGCATCTTTGTATGGCGTTAGTGATCTTGTAGGGCTTTTCAAGGTGTGATTTACGTCATGTAACACTGAGGTACTTTTGAATTAAGATTGCTGCTATTTGTGAAATATAGCTGTTTAGTTAGGAAGTTTTACAGGAAACACATAAATTTGAGCAAGGTTACAACGAGCAGTTGATTGGAAAATATCCTGAAGACCTAGATATTTATAACCAGAGATCGCCAATAAACAGAGCTAAAGAATTAAATTGTCCCGTGTGCTTCTTTCATGGTACCGAAGACACAGTTGTTCCTATGTCTCAAAGTTTAATTTTCTATGAAGCTTTAAAATCAAAGGGACTTATAACAGCCTTCCAAACCTTTCCTGGTTCGGTTTTCTCAAGTTCTTCTTAAAAATATTGTGAGAATTGTTCCGTGAGGTCTTCAAACTTGAACTTTGTTTCTTTAGGCGAAGGACATGGTTTTCGTGGTGCAGCTGCTACAAAAATGGCGTTAAATGGTCCTTATTATTTCTTCTGTAAAGTGTTAGGGATCAACCCATCAGTAACTGCAAAGGTTTTTATTAAATTCACTTGTTGGCTGCATTTTTTATAGGTTGCTCCAGAAAACACTTTCCGGTACCGCATCAATTTTCAGATTAAAATTGATAACTTACCTGGAGAACGTAAAGTACAAGCAGCTTGAGCAGGACGTCGACTTTTTTTTTTGAAGCCGACCGCATTATCCTGACGCCGATATTGAAAACGCCTGTGACGCATTCTTTTTGAATCACTTGTAGGATGATGTAGTAAAGTTGTTTAAAATGTTTTCATCAGCGCTTACTTGTCAGATCTTTTGTCTCTTCAGGCACGTGTAAGCTTTGTTGGGCAAATCCGTTGTAGTTTAGGATTTCATTTTTGACTGTAGTAGTCTTCTACTCGTTTGCTTCTATAACAGGTGACTGAGGAATAGCGACTTAATAACCTTTACATTATCCAGCACAGAAAGGAGCCACAACCGGTGTGCAGTTCTTCACACAGTTGAGAAATGAACTTTTATTCATTAAATTATGATGTACTTTGAAATCCCTCTAATCATGAAACCAAAGTCATGCTCTTTGCGAATGCCTAAATTGTCATTTCCTTGACATGCTTTGCAAAACTTCATTTTCTCCCTCGCTGGAAACACTGTAGCTTACAAAGTTTCAGATACCGGCAAGGCTAAAATTCTTTTATCCCTTGTAGATGGAGGAATGTGGAATGTTTTACGGTGACTATTAAGCGGTACATGATGACGGCACGTGGTTAGTTTACTTGCGACTGAATCTACCAAAAGACTTTGGAGTAGAAGTAAGGTTTGTAACGAACTAATCCTGCATGCGCGCGAAGCACTGGTTCAAAGATTTCTGTAGATGTAAAAGTGTTGTATTCCTTCACTTCTGAGATTTTGTCTACGAAACTGTGGAGAGCAGATTGAGCCACAGAGAAGAATCAACGGGAACTAGTGTGATCAAATCCCAATCAGCAGGACTCTGAATAAACAAGTCGCCAGCCGCCAATTCTGTTCACTGTTGCTTTTGCAAGGTTCCAATTACAGCTCTTTTTAAATAACGACTCCCAATCAGAAAATATTTAGTTTTTTGAGACACGGTTTTCTGCTGCAGAGGAATACTACTGTCGATTATTCGCAATGATTTTGGTATCTCACACTGGAGAGAAGATTGTGATACCTGCTACTTCAGAGGCAAAGCTGGAAAAAGAGTGGTGGAAGAATGGCTTGAAGCTACAGCTGTCACGTCGAGTTTAACCTGTTCCCTTTCCCACGTGATACAGAACTTGAACTTCAGTATTAGTTTTGCCAAGAAAATTTACTTGGTTTCTGATACTGGTACAGCGAACAGGATCGTCACCAGACAAGGAAAAATTTCAGGATTTTTAAAAATAAGACTGCCAACATCTAAACAAAGTGTGATCAACGGTGAGATGCTTTTGGTATCCGTTATGAAAAATAAAAATCCAGCCACAAACAAGATACATAGTAGACATAAAAGAAAGCGCTCTAATGGCAAAAAGAAAAGAAAAAAAAAAAGGAAACTGAAACACTCGGGAATGAAACAGGTGACTTGAAACCCATACTAATCCAACAAAAACCGGATAAGTTAATAATTATACAAGCATATATTTGCAGCAGCAGATTGTCATTTGACACCTTTCCAGTGAACTGATGGAAACTTTATTATATTTTACAAGATACGACTTTGAAATGAATGACTTTGACCGCTAACTAAAAATAATCCAGATACTAACTTCCTTAAAAACGATATAAATTCCCTAACAGAGCTACCGGCCGTGGGCATTTATGCAGTAAAAACTGGGTACTTTCGAACAAATACGCTCACTCGCTGTGGACAAGGCAATTGTTGTTAGTGAAAATTAATATCACGACAAAAAGAGAAAGTCCATTTATACTGCATTTTCTAATACGAACGTCGCATCCATTTTTTAATTTTTTTGAAAAGTCGCTTGACATCCATAGACATGCGGCCTGTATAATACATCTACGGTAAAGGTTCAACATAATTAGCCGGTATCAAACCCGTTTTCCCATTCAAGGTTCCAACAAGCCAACCTTCTTCTTTGGACTCGTACACTGAAATTGAGAAATTGTTAATAAGATAACAGCAATGACACTTAACACTGGAAAACTTGAAAAAAGGCTAAACTTTGACTCGTCTGCTGTGGGAACGACAACGTTTGGAAATTAAGTAGCTATACAATGAATCTTTTTCAATTCTACTAATTCCAACAAATAACAAAAAACGTACAGGTTTGCAAAAATTGAAACATACCATTTGTAATAATTTGACCCGGTTGAAACGACAATTCAGAATCATGACCAGCCGTGCATTCATACAGCGTTTTGACGCGTCGACTGCAAAAAAAA